TTCCACAATTTGTTGAGTCAACTATCTTTGGTATGGACATATAGCTGGATCTCTTTGAATCAGTTGGCCAGGTAGCCATCTTCCAAATTTCTTAGCGTATATCATTGAGTGTCTGCAGTGTTGCATAAGTTTGTTGAAAGATTTCAGTTTGTATCCCATCAATTCCAAGAGCCTTATTCTTAGCATAATATCATGAGTTACAGGTACTGAAGGAAGAAGTTCACAGTGCACTGAAAGCATTGGCAATCTTTTGAAATGTTCAAACATAAGCCTTTTTTTTTTTTTTAAGGTACAATAAATCTGTGTATTCCTTCCATTTATTTTTATAATTTTCTACATTATTCAAAATTTCCCCATATAATCCTTCAATACTGAAAGTAGAGAATTGAATTTTTCTCCAGCTCTTTTAACTTGAGAAATGTTTAGCATACATATCCATTTTGGTTTTCTACAGGTCTTTGCACATTTCATTATAATACTTTACTATGTCTTCTCCATCTGCCCTTTGGAATTTTCTCTTCATCTCTTTTTTTGCTTCTTGATTTACTCCATTTGCTTTAGCGTTTCTATGCTAAAGAGCAAAAAAAAATTTTTTTTAAGCTGACATCCATTTTGGTCTTTTCTTTCTTCGCTTCCTAATGCTCTTTTGCTTTCTTTCTGTATGATGCTCTTAATTTCATGCAACAATTCTCCTGGTGCTCAGTCATAAGTGTTTAATGCATCAAATATGTTCTTCAGATGATCCCTAAATTCAGATGGAACAAGTTTAAATTCAAATTTCCCCTCCTGTGAAACTGTTTTAATTTTTTTTTCAGCTTCAGTTTGAACTTGCTATGAGCAATTGATAGTCTGTTCCACAGTCGCTCCTGGCCTGGATTTCCTGATAAAATTATGTGCTTCCACAATTTCTTCTCATAGATACAGTCCATTTGAGTGTTGTGTATTCCATCTGGTGAACATCATGTTCATAGCCATCTTTTGTGTTGTTCAAAAGTATTTGCAGTAAATAAGCCATTGGTTTTGCAAGTTCTATCATGTGATCTCTATCATCATTTCTGTCATCAATTCCATATTTTCCAATTACTAATCTTTCCTCTTGTTTCCAAACTTTGCATTCCAATGCCTAGTAATTATCAATAAATCTTGATTGCATGCATTTCAGATTGAAAAAGTTGGTAGAATTCTTCAATTTCATCATCATGGGCTTTAGAGGTTGTGAATAAGTTTGAATAATAGTTATATTAACTGGCATTCCTTGTATTGTTATTGTTGTTAGGTACCATCTTTCAGTACCAACTTATACTGAACTTCTGCACAACAGAAATGAACACTGGTCTCGTGAGACCCTCACAATCATTGCTATACATGAGCCCATGCTGCTGCCACTGTGCCAATCCATCTGGCTGAAGGCCACCCTCTTTTTCACTGACTTTCCACTTTACCAAGCATGATGTCCTTCTCCAGGGACTGGTCTCTTCTGATAATATGTTTGAAGTATAAGAGACAAAGTCTAGTCATCTTGGCTTTCAAAATGGATTCTGGCTGTATTTCTTCCAACACAAATTTGTTTGTTCTTTTAAAAATATTATTTTCCAACTTCATACCTCAAATGCATCCATTCTACCACAGTCTTCCTTATTCACTGTCTGGCTTTCTCATGCATTCCAAAAACCAGCACTTATCAATGCACTTTGATTAAATATTTGATCAATTTCAGATTGAAGAAGTTGGTAGAATTCTTCAATTTCATCAACACTGGCATTGGTGGTTCGTGTATAAACTTGAATAGTAGTTGTGTCAACTGATCTTTCTTCTAGGTGTATGGCTATTATCCTATCACAGACAAGGTTGTAATTCAAAATAGATCTTGAAATGTTCTTTTTTATGAAGAATGTAACACCATTCTTCTACAATGTGTTGCTTCCTGAGCTGTAAACCATGTGGTTGTAAGTTTCCAAATGGCCGACCCCAGTTCATTTCAGCTCATGACTGTATGGATATCTATGCATTCCATTTTATTTTTGATAACTTCCAATTTTCTGGATTCATATTTCATAAATTCCTTTTCTAGAATATTAATGCAGGTTTCAACCTGTTTCTCCTCATTTTGAGTTATGTCCTATCAGTAAATGAAAGTCATGAAAGCTTTTCTCCATTCATGCCCTCATGGTCAACTCATCTGTCAGTTTGTCATCTGTGGTGGCTTGGATGTGGCTGTAATTCTGGAAGCTATGCCACTGGTATTTTGAGTACCAACAAGATCACCCACAATGGAGCTTCCAAACTAAGATAGATATGCTAAGAAAGAAAGATGGACTACTTCTAAATATTTAGTCACTGAAAACCTTAAAAATAGCATTAGAACACTGAAACATGATGGAGTGCTGGTGTGGCACTGCAGGATAATGCACTGGACTATAATGTCAGTTTGAATCACAAGGTTGGTGCTTCAAATCCATCAGACACTCCTTGGAAACTACAGGCAGAGTTGCTATGAATGGGAACCAACTCAAGGGTACTTAACAATACTAACAACAAATATGATGAAGAGCACCAGAATATTTTAAGCTATAATGCCTTTCTTCCTTGTTGGCATATTGATATTATACTATCACAGACACCATTAGATGTCAAGGATAGACCTTCAAATGTTCTTTTTAATAATGAACACAATATCATTCATCTTCAGTGTGTCATTCCTAGCATAGTGAACCATACAATTGTCATATTCAAAATGGCCAATAAGTCGGTTCTTCTCACTTATGCCTGGATTATCAATCTTTATGCATTCTATTTCATTTTTGAAAACTTCCAATTTTTCTAGATCCATATTCTAGTTTCCATATTCATTTCTAGATTCCATATTCTGATTGGAAGTGGATGTTTATAGCTATTTCTCCTTGTTTTGAGTTATGTTTCATCAGCAAATAAAGGTCTCAAAAGTTTACTCTGTTTGCATCATAATGGCCATCTCTGCTTTGAAGAGGCAACTCTTCCCAAGTCATATTTTTAGTATTTTCCTATCAGAGTGGCTCATCTTCTGGGACTTTATCTAGAAATATTCTGGTGCTATTCATAATGTTTCAATATCAATATTCTGGTACTATCTCACATTGTTCCTTTACTATTCATAAGGTTTTCATTGCCTACACATTCATGTTGTTTGCCTTCTCCTTTTTCCTAGTCTGATTTAGTTTGGAAGCTCAGCAGAAACCCATTAACTAAGTGTTTACCCTACTGATATTTCTAATACTGTAATCACAGTCTACTGCAGGAGAGCAACACACAAGGCACCACAGTAAGACAAACTGACAGACAAGTGGTGAGAAAAATAAAATAATACAGGGAGTTAAATCATTTAATTACACATTTTGAGATTCATTCATGGTGAACTATGTGGGGCCAGCATTACTATAAAGCTCCTGTTTTCTAATGGAAACGTAACACAGAAACCATGAAAGTGATGCTTAGATATGATACCTGTTGTTCATTGTAATATCACAGAATAATTGAAATCTAATTTAATTGAAGATTTTAAAATATATTGAAAAGTCATCAAAAGAATTACAAGTAGAATTAAGAACAACTTGAGATCAAAATACTTTTATACATTAGGAGAAACAGGAGTTTCAGTAGTTTAATAATACTTGAGTTGAAAATAGGATTAAGAAAACTGATGTTGTTAAACAATTTAAGTGACCCTGGCAACCCTATAACTATTATTGAGAGTTATTTTTTTCCCCTTACAGGTGGTCTATATATTACATACAAAAGACTTTTCTGAGATACTTTTAGCTGAACATGTGTACTGAGACTTTTTTTTTCCCAGTTGAGGGAAACATTGGGGGAAATTAAGAAAAAAATATTAATGATTGAAGTAATGAGGTAAGATTGCTTGGGGAGTCTAGATAAACTTTTTAAAAATGATACATTTGAACAATAATCATGGGACTTGTTAAGTTAACAAGACAACTGGTAAGTACAGAGGTGTGTACGCTGGCTGTTGTGCCTCCTGAGTAACTTTCCTTAATTAACCAACGTATGTCTGGTTGGAAATTCCGGGATAGAAGACAAATGATGCAAGTGGGTATCCTTTGGGAAACTGAGAGGCCAAGAAGTGAGTGTAACTCTGTGATTGAAGAAATCATAAGTTCTAAAGGATTTGTAAGAGGAATGTTTCAAGAAGAAAAGAGGAGTGGGGAGAATGGTATATAAGTGAGTCCAAGGCTATTGGTGAGACCTAGATCATTACATGAAAAAGTAGAAATACCAATATTAGAAGGAGATAATTGAGTCTACCTGATTATCAGTCAGTTACTTAAATTATGATAAAAATCTCTCAGAATTCAGTTCATTAAAAGAATGAATTTTATTGAGAAAACTTCCCTTTGAAGGAGAAGAATTGGATAGTTCACTTCAGAATTCTTCCTATGTATATTTTTATTGTCTTCTCATTGAAAATGAGTAAGTCTTAGTTATACAGTGCTGTCATCAGATAAAGAACACAGTGGATGCGTATAACAAACAGAAATATATTCTCTGATAGTTTAGAAAATTAGTAGTCCAAAGTAAGCATACTGGCTCTGGGGAAAGTTTTTTTTTTTTTTTTTCTCTTTCAGTATGGATAGGCCCAGCCTTCCCCGAAAATCTACATGGTATTAGAAACAATATTTCCCTGGATATAGGAGCTTCACAGTGCAGGAAATCCAGGTCTAAAGTATGTAAGCCACTTTCAATTCATCTTTCTTGGTGGTAATATGTGCCCATCCCTGGGTTGATTTCTCTATCAATTTATAACTCAAAAACAAGATTAGATCAAGATAGAATCTAATTCTGTATTTTGCTCTGACTTTATTAACATCCTAAAAGTGAGTATTTTCAACTCTCTCAATAATTATATCAGATCAGAACTGAACACATCAGCTGATTCCATGAGGTTGATTCTATTATATCAGATTACATCATGGAAGATATAATTATCAGGCAATATCATGAATATCACATGCAAGTAAAACTTTGCTAAAGATAATTTAAAAATGATTACAATGGTACATAAACAATAAAGACATGTATCTTAACTGGTAAATCACTTAGAATCCTGGCACAGTGTAGTTGGTACAAAACCTTAATTATCACAATCCAATATTTGTTAACTGGATACATGTACATATCCTCTTAAACCATATATAATCTATAAATATATAAAATTCTAAAGTCATAATGTGGTGCCTTGTGTTTTGCTGTGATGCTTCAAGTTATGCCACTGGTATTTTAAAAAACAGCAGAGCCAAGAGAGCAATCCCTGTGCCTCCAGCGGCTGCTGCCTCCAAGTTGAGGATAGTGGACGGCACAGGTGCTGGCCAAAGCACTTCTTTACAGGGTCTAAGAAAGTGCATGGTTGCAGCAGCCCATGCAATTGCTGACAAAAGATGAAATCAAAGAAGTGTTAGTTCAATTGCAGTCAAATCTTTCACTGTAAAAACATCATTTAAACCAGTTCTTGATGGATCTGTTCTTTAAAATGGCATAAAACAAAAACTAGCAAAGGAATGCAGAGAAGCAAAATAGAGACCCCAAAATGCTACTAAAGAAATGCAACTGCTTCAAAATGAAAGAAAGTCCAAGATACAGTATGAGAAGCAACTAGAAGAAAACCAGAGAAAGCTGAGAGAACAAAAAGAAAAAGATGAACACTGAAGAGCATCTGCAGAAATAAAAAGAAAACAAAAGTTAGAGGAAGAAAAGGAAAGATTCTTTGATTTTGGAGAGCTTGATTACCATATGTCTTGGTGATTGTCTTTTAGGGTCTATCCTTCCTGGGGTTCGTTGAGTTTCTTGAATGTTTATCTTTTTGCTTTTCAGGATGTTAGGAAAAATTTCTTCCAGAAGCTCTTCAACTATCTTCTCTGTGGACTTGTGTGATTGTTCCTATTCCAGAATGCCATTAATTCTTAAGTTATTTCTCTTCATGTTGTCCAACATGAATCTTAGGCCTTCCTCAGATTTTTTTATTCTTTTTTGTCTTTGCTCTTCTTAGTAGTGTTGAGAGATTTATCTTGTAGCTCACTAGTTCTGGCTTCCATCTCTTCAATTCTACTCCTTTGCCCTTTCAGTGTATTGTCCATTTCTGATATTCTCTTATTAATCATTTGGACCTCTTTCTGTAGGTTTTGAATTGTTTCCAATGCTGTATCTATCTTATTTGATTGTTCCTGTAGCACTTTCCTGACTTCTTCCTTATTTTTTGCGACTCCATTGTATAATGTTTTGATACATATTATAATCATTTTTCTGAATTCCTTCTCAGGCATTTCCAAAGTCTGCCCATCTTCCAGTATGGAGTGTAGGTCTACTTCCAGCTCATTTGCCTCAGTCACTTTATCTTATTTCTGGACATGTGCAGATATGGTCTTCTGTTTCTGTTTTTTGGGCATATTCAGAGGTTATCTGTGGCCTTAATACTTAGATAGGTGTGCATTTTGGTATTTGTATGCTTTCTGATTGTCTCCAGGTAGATGTGATCAGGAAATGGGCTTCCTTTTTCACTCTTCTTAAGAAATTTCAAGAAGCCACTGTTGGTCATTTTGACGTAACTTAGGATTTAATTTTCAGCCTATTTCCTTTTTAGTCTGCCAGTCCCGCTCCAGAATCCCTGTTCAGGCGTTTTTTTCTAGTTATAAACAGTTCAGGGCTGGCTGTGGCCATTTGATTTTAAGTGGAAACTGTCTCTTTAAATTTCGAGGAGATCTGTGTGCATTTGTAGTAGAACCCCCCAAGGGTGGGGCTGGAGCATCCACTAGCTCAGGCACCCTCATAGTCACCAGAATGGAGGTGCACAGACAGCAATAGACCAATGAACAGATACAAAAAGAAAAGAATGTCCACACCTTTATCTCCATGGTTCTGTCAGGCATCTGTGGCTGCTGTGATCCTTCCCCCGCTTGGTCTCACCCAAGATGGCGGCTCCTGGAGCAGCTGAGCATCTTGAATTAGAAAGCAATGAATTTCTTGCTCCTGCTACAATTTCCCCTAGCTGTATGTAACTCTTCCAACCTTCTAAATATTCCTTTAAATGTGGTTCAGAGTTCTGGGACCATCCCCTGAGACTGCTTGGTCCTGTATTCTATGTTGTTGCTGATGGAGCTCCTTACTGCACTTCCACCCGATCTGCCATCTTGTTTATTCTTCACTTGAACAAGTTTTTGTTGGTTTCAACAGATGCATGTTTGCATCATATACAGGTCGTCAAAATCCTCTTATGAAGAAGTCAGATAAGAAGAGCTCGTCTGTGACTACAAAAGATATGAGACTATGTTCATGTTTTGAATTCAAGAAACCCCTAATGGAACCAAAAATATGTGTTCATCACTTGTATGCCTCGAATGCTTTAGTCAGTTATCTATTTGACCCAACACAAGCATCATTGGCTAGAAGCCAAAGTGCTACATCTTTATCCATCCCTGGAAAGATGGTTCGGGCATCAATATTAATTTACTCCAACATTTAAAGGTGATCTAGCCCTTGCATAACCACAGTAATAATGAATTGGAGATTCCTAGCCTGGGTCCACAACTGGTATTTGAAATTCTTATCCAAGCAAAACCAGAAATCTCTCTTTTGGAGAATTTAGGAACACTTACTAAGATCAGCTCCTCATGGGCTGGGTGAAACAGTCTCTTGTGGAAACTGCCCCAGAAGCAAATGTGGAAATGCCACCTAAAACCACTGTGGAAGGGTCCCCTGAAGTGGGTGTAGGAGTCTCCAGCAAGCCCAATGTGGAAATATCTTTGAAGGCAATTGTGGAAGTGCTCCTTAAGACCAATGTAAAAGTGCCACTCAAGGCTGCTGTGAAAGTGCCCCCCAGGTTTGTGTGGTGACATCTCTTTGATATCGACATGGAAGTATCTCCCAAGTCGAAAGCGGGAGACTTGCCACAGAAATTAGAATCAGAAACTACAAACAGGCTTCAAATCCTGTTATTAAGAAATGCTCATCATCGAACATCCTATGTTATATAGATGGCCATCATCTGCAAGTGGGTGGTGTCTGCCCTCCCCAGTCAAGCTAGTTCCCAAGAATCGTCCACCATTACCACTTATAGTGACATCAGAGCAATCAACTACATTTTCTCTGTCTTATAAAGTGATACCTGTTCAACCAAATACATTAATAACAACAACCAAAAAGAAGATAGCCATTTGTAAAACCATTAACAGCAAATTTGAAGTGCCCAGCCACAAAAATACAACCGTTGAAGAGACTAGTACTAAGATCACCCCCATACTCATGAATTCTGTGTCCTCAACAAGAATTTTGACAGAAAAACAGAGTCTTGTCCATGAACAGAAAGAATAGGAAGGGGTGAAAAATCAGAAAGTACTGGAAAAGAAGAGCATGAAGAACTAATAAGAACAATGTTACAAGTTCAAGTCCCAAAGAAAGATGATGACCACTATAATGTCCAATTTAGAGAAAGTATATTGGCACAGCAAACAACTATAGCTGGAAGGCAGTTGGGAGACAACAGTTTGTCCTCAGTCTGCCACCCTGTGGGAAGCCGACTGCCAGTTTATATATGCTATGATCCTGGCTCAAGGTCTAGGGGCTTATCTAAAGGAATATGCTGAAGCAGGTAGTACAAAAACAGAAATAGCAGGTTAGTGTCAAAAGGAAGACTAGATAACAACCAGGCCAGGGCAATAAAGTTACAAATCAGTTTACATAGATTGAGAAACAAAGCTACATATCAGTTTACATAGGCAGACTAATAAAAACTATAAACTAGTCACATTTGCCAGGGTCCCTGAGATATATGGTTAAGTTGATTACCTTAAGGTATACCTGGGGACCATAAAGCAGATACAATAAACACCATTTGAGGTGCTTGTGTCTGTTTTATCTTTTCTGAGGCCATGGGGACTAGGCCTGTGATGCTTTCTTCTGCCCTTGATGCCTTGCTTTGTGTCTATTTTATATCCTCTGAAGTCATGGGAACTATGCTGAGATTTAGAAATTCTGAATTTTCAAATAACTCTATTGTTTCATTTGCCCCCCCCCCCATTTTTATGGGACTACTCAAATCATTGATTCTTCACTATCGGCTGTAGTCCTTACAGTGGTATACTGAGATTGCAATACCATGAGTTTCACAGCTCCAATTCAGTTATGCATAAATTTGATAAGGGCATTCAGGATACAGGGTCCGATTAGGAGTTCGAGTATGAGGAGCATGAGGGGGCCAGCTAATCTGGTTACAAGAATCAGAATCGTGACCCAAGGGGACCAGTTGAATAGAGTTTGATACCAATTTTGGGTGGAGTCTAGCTGCTTATTTCTTTTCTCTTTACTCCCTCTGATCACTGCTAATATCATTCTAATTACTCCAGTTTTATTAGCATAAAAAGAACATTCCTCTCCTAGGGCAGCACAAAGTCCTCCTTGTTATAAGAACAGGAGGTCGAGTCCTCTCCGGTTTTGGAGAGCCACTTCAGCAAGAGATTCAACTTGGTCAGACATTTCAGAAATTGAATCTTCTAATCGGCTCAAGTCAAGCTCTGGACAAGCTATTAAGCCCTTGTCCTTGTGTTGCTAAGGCTGAGATGCCTAAAGCTGAGGATCCTGCAATTCCTAATCCGACTAAGAAGGGAATTAGGATGGGAACTCAGGGGTAACAGGTATGGTCAGGAGTTGTCATCAAGGCTAGCTCCTGATCAGCTCCATATATGTCAATGCGAGGAAGCAAGTACACAGGGATACATAATTCTGAGGAATGAATGGCGGGGAAGGTATAAGTAGACCTACAATTAGTAAGGTCAAAGGAGCATGTGAAACAAGTTCCAGGGGTAGAGAGGTAATACATTAATGTACCGTTGTAGGTTAAGTGGACTACAGAGGTACAAATCTTTGAAAAGCGAGAGTGGGCTATATCATTGGGGAGTGTAGCAAAGCAAGTACCTTGTCCCATTATATGTACTAAGGTGATGTGGAGAATTTGGGCAGAACATTCGTTTTTTGATGAGGGGTTGGAGTAGTTGGTTGCTAAGCTGGTGTAGGAAAGGGGTCTGGGGTCCAAGCACATCCAATAACCCTGTGCTAGGTCAGGGTTGGTGGAATTTAACAGGAAGTATGACTGTTTCAATATATTTAACAGAGAGATGTCTGCCCCATTGCTGGGTATTGACAATACACTGTTAGGCTCTCACAGTTTAGGGGCTGAGGGTAAAGGTATCTGGGTAGCGGGAGGCGTTGGAACCTGTTGAATTTGGGCAACCAGATTGGCTTGAATTCTGCTGGGTAATAATAAGGAAGCCCCGTGGGAGCTGGGGCCTGGGGGGAATTTTCCATTGGATAGTGAACAAATTACCATTGTCATACCCTGATACATAAAGCCTGAGTCCCCAGGTCAGGCCTGTAGCCCACATTTGTGTTGGGTCCCAGGGGTTCTTTATGGTTATGTTAATAGGGTTGCAGTGTCCAACTGGACAATTCAATTTGGGAGTTAAGCGACGGACCTCTATATGTTTATCTCTGTCTTTAGTGTAGCCTGAAATTGTGGACATAGTTTCACATCCCCATTTATAAGAATAATAAGATTTTACATCATTACATTGCCAGGGGGCACAAGTGACTGGGCAAAGATAAATGCCCAGGCGCTGCATGCCTCATTCTTTCTGAACTTTACCACACCCATAATTCTTTCCAGAGTGGTCGTATAGAGACCCTCCTCCTTGTACAGTAGCTCCAGTCTCTTGATTCCTTTTGGAGGGAACAGCCATTCGGGGACCCATAATAGAGCAGAGATCTATAGTGAGAGTGAATGGGGTGGGGTCCCCTATACTGTTACATAGAGTACAATTATATATTGTACTTCCCATTGTTCCCTCTATTAGGGTCCACAAGTATTTCTCAGGGGACACTCTCCAACTATGTGTCTTGGGAATAAACAGTAATAACCAGACTATAATCATGTATGCGTCAGTCTTAGCTTTAGAGGACACTCTGGATCTTTGATGGCTTTCCATGCTTCACCAGGAAGGGCTGGTTTCAGGTGAGAATGATGCACCATGGAGTCACTCCGTCTACTTTGATGGTGGATATGGTGGTCAAGATCACGGTGAAAGGGCCCTTCAACCTGGGTTCAAGTCCTGAAGAGGTGTGATGCTTGACTAACAGAGTCACCTGGCTGAAACCGGTAGACAGGCTCTGGTGAGAAGGTGGGTACGGGATGGCTTCTCAGACTGCACAGAACACTTCTCGCTGAGTGGCATGGAGGGTCTGTAAGGACTTAAGCAATTGTTGATTATGTACCTCAGCCTGTTTGAAATTTTGCAATTTGGGCAATAGAGGTGGGGTTCTTCCAAGCATAATGTCATAAGGGGTGAATCCCTTCTTGTAAGGGGTGCATCTAGCACGTAACAAGACAAAGGGGAGTAAGGATGGCCAGTCAGCACCTGTCTCTAGTACATATTTAGACACAGTTTCTTTTAGGGTCCTATTTATTCTTTCTACTTGTCCGGAACTCTGAGGCCAGTAGGCACAATGCAACTTCCACTTGATTCCCAGGAATCTGGAAATTTGCTGAGTCAAGGTAGCAGAAAAGGCTGGTCCATTATCTGACCCAAGGGGCTCAGGGAGACCATACCTGGGGATTATTTCCTCTATCAGTTTCTTTGCAACTACAGTGGCTGTTTTATTTTGGGTAGGAAATACTTCAACCCACCCCGAGAATGTGTCTATTAGGACTAATAAGTATTTTGTGGCCGAGCTGGGGGCTTGATTTCAGTGAAGGCTAACTCCCAGTGTTCTCCTGGCACTTGCCCCCGGTACCTAATTCCTCCAGATTGGGGAGCTGTAGTTCATGCATTTACTTGAGCACATGAAACTCACCTGGCCACTGGACTGTCTACGAGCTTGTCTAAGTGAAGAATATAAATCTGTTTCCTAAGCAATTCACTAAGTTTAGTTTTTCCCAAATGGGTGGCCTGGTGCATTTGCTGCACGAGTGACTTACTCAAAACCTCAGGAACCACTGTCCTACCATCAGGGGAGAGTCCTCCTTTGTTGCAGAATTCTGCTTAGCCCACTGAATTTCTTCTTCAGTATAGTGGGGTGTCTAGGGCAACGAGGGTTCTGGCAGGGGCACGAGAGTCAGTTCTAGGTTAGATGACCCCCAAACTGCTACTTGTCTTGATTCCCCATCAGCTTTTCGGTTACCCACAGATTCTTTAGTATTCCCTTTTTGGTGCCCTGGGCAATGTATGATGGCTAGTGTGGAGGGTAGACCTATTGCTTAAAGTAGGGTAAGAATTTCCTGCTTATTCCGTGACATAGGGTATTATTCCATGACATAGGGTATTGTTTTACCTGTATTGGTGAGGCATTTGCCTTGAGTTACACAATTTCAGGAGATTGATGTCGTGCTAGTCCAAGAGGATTAAATTCTGCCCATACTTCAGAGAAGGCCTGTTTCAAATACTCCAAATATTCATTGGGCTTGGCTGTCAGGAATGATTATTCTGTAAGAGATATTCTTCAGACAAAGGGCAGGTTAATAAGACAGTAGATGGTTGAGGGCACTTGTTTCCTCAAACGAGATAGTGGCATGGAGTTTGCAAAGCAGGTCACAGCCCAGCAATGGATAAGGACAGTCTGGTATTAGGAGGAAAGAATGAGTCACAGTGTGGTTCCCTAGGTTAACAGTTCTTTTAGTGGTCCATGGCCATCTAGATGTCTTCCCAGTGGCTCCCTGGATTACAATGGAATCCAAGGACAGCGGTCCCAGAGACGAGGTTATGATTGAACAAGTGGCCCCCTTATCTACTGGGAAATGGATAGGCTTGCCCCCTCCTTGCACTGTCACCCCGGGGGCTCAAAGGGGCTTAAGGGGAATGAGCCCGGGCCTCCCTAAGCCTGACTTGTGAGGTTAAGGATAGGGGGGCATGTACCTTGTCTTTCTTTCCTTTGTGGGCACTCATTTTTCCAGTGTCTTTCTAGTTTCCAATAAGTACACTGGTGCTTTCCCAGAGGCGTTTGGCTTGAGGGGTTTGTTCTAAGCTGACCTCTCTTCCCCGGTGTATTGTTTCTGTTCCTGGAGAGCTGATCTGCTTCTCTCAAGGCTGCTACAACAGCTCTGGCTAAGGCTTGCTTTCCTGCTTCCTCGGGAGGGTCTCTATTATTATAGAATTTCCTGGCTATCTCTACTAATTCTGAGAGATTCTTTCCTTCAACTCCTGTAGTTGCTGCAACTTCCGTTTAATATCAGGTGCTGATTGGACATAATAAAGCCAGGTTAACGGCACGTTGTTTTTCTCCAGCCCCAGGATCTATAGGGGTGTAAGTCCGGTATACTTCTAACACTCTCTCCAAAAATTCATCAGGAGACTCGCCATCACTCTGGGTAACCTTGGTCACTTTGGAGAGGTTGGTAGGCCTCCGAGCTGCTCTCTTAATACCTGCTAGTAAGTACTGCTGATAGCTTTTTAGAGACCGCAACCCGCGCCTTGCCTCCCCCAAGGCAGTGTTAGGGTCCCAGTCTGGTCTCCTTTGAAGAAATTCCTCCTCAATTCTATCTCTATTCTCCTCTTCAGTGTCCCCTAGAGGACCAATAACTGCTTTTTGGGCCTCATGCCGGATCCTACTCCTCTCCTCAGCTGTGAACAATACTACTAAAAGTTGCTGGCAATCATCCCAAGTTGGCATGTGGGTTTGAAAAACAGACTCCAAGAGTCCTGTTAAGGCCTAAAGTTTTTCTGAGGTGGGGGGGTGCTGGTTCTTCCAATTATGCAGGTCACTAGTTAGAAAAGAGGCATAAACTTTATAGGGGCGCACGTGGGGATCACCTGTCAGAGGCGGCACAGTGAGGGAAGAACAGTGGGTTGTCTGATCGCAGTCCTGCAAAGAGTGTGTCACAGGGAGCAAGAAGTGGGGCCCTCAGAATCAGGGACGGTTGGAGGTAGCGGAACAGTTGAAGGGCCAGCAGTCCGGCTCCAAGTGTGTCGAGGGGGGGGTGGGGAACCAAGAGGAGGAAGGTTCTCAGGTTCAGTGACAGTTGGGGTTGGTGGAACAGTTGAAGGGCCAGCATTCCGGCTCCAAGTGTGTTAGGGAGAGCCAGGAGGAGGAAGGCTCTCAGTATTAGGGACAGTTGGGGGTGTCAGAGCAGTTAAAGGACCTGCAGTCGGGCAACTGTAAGGAGCGGGCAGCTCTGCATTTTCGGGAACCAGAAGGAGGGGGATGAGAAGAGCGAGTATCTCGCAGGCAGGAGGATGAAGATGGTAGTGGATTTCTTTTCTTTCTTTCAGAGGCTGTCAGTATAATTCCTAGGCCTGCCTGGAAGGCACACATTTTCAACCATTCAGGGGGGTTTTGGACTAAGCTTAACCAGAGGTCTACGTAGGGATATTGATCTGTACGCACAGGGATCTCCACCACTCGATCCTAAACAGCTTTAATGATAAGGGGGTCAAAATGTACCAATACCAGGTTACCCCACACCCAGAGAAGGCCACTCTTATCTAATTTGCATAAGTTTCGGAGGCGGCCTGGGCTGAGTCTAATACCATAGTCATCAGAGAAAGCAGTTTGGAAGTTCTTCAGCATACACTGCAAGGGGTTAAGGGAGCTATTCTTACTACATGACCCTTCCCATGCTGATTTAGGCAGGTAAGAACAAGTAAGAAGAAATCTATTTCCCAAGGTTCAAAGTCTTGCAAGTTTCCCTGAAAGGTTAGGCTATAATGTCTTAAGACTCAAAGTCCCACCTATGGGGATAACACCAAGATATATCCTGCAGGATGACTTTTATGAAGAGGCAAAACTTTATGGAGAGAGAGTTAACAGGTACACTGTTCATTTAAGTTCGGCCACAGGTGAGTCGGAGAAATATGAGACAAAGGAGGAGGTAGAGGAAACAAAATCAGGTCTTCTGGGTGGCAGTCCATTCGGCAGGAGCATTAGCGAAGAGTCCTGAAGCAAAAATTAGTATAAGAGGGAGGTAGTATATACGGGAGAAAGAGAGACAAGACAAGAAGGAAATGATAGACATAGGGGAAAGTAGAGAAAGATCGCGGGAGAAATAAACACTATGAGTCAATGCAAACGGTCAATACAAACAACCCAAGACAAGTACAGGAACTTTACCAGGCTTCTCAAGCGGCGTCTCGGTGAGAAGGATCCGGGAAGAGTCGTGGCCGCGTCTGGCCCTCTTTCCCTGGCCAAACAGGGAGACCAGTCTCACAGACAGATTCTCCTCCCAGGCCCAGGTGCCTTAAAGCCAATTATGCGCGTCTTTCTGGCTGGTGCTCAGACAGGGAGTAGGGAATCCGGGGCCCTGGAGCTTCTTCAGGGGGCGTCTCCCCTAGATGTCTCTTCTCCCTGGAGCTGCCGCTGCCAGTCAAAGGCCGTAGAACACAGTAGCCATCCCGGACGAACACCCAGATGTTACGGGTTCAAGTCCCAAAGAAGGATGATAACCACTATAATGTCCTAGATGTCTCTTCTCCCTGGAGCTGCCGCTGCCAGTCAAAGGCCGTAGAACACAGTAGCCATCCCGGACGAACACCCAGATGTTACGGGTTCAAGTCCCAAAGAAGGATGATAACCACTATAATGTCCGATTTAGAGAAAGTTAATTGGCACAGCAAACAGCTATAGCTGGACAGCAGGGAGCCAACAGTTTCTCCTCAGTCTGCCGCCCTGTGGGAAGCTGACTGCCAGCTTATATATGCTACAATCCTGGCCCAAGGTCTAGGGGCTTATCTAAAGGAATGTTCTGAAGCAGGTAGTACAAAAACAGAAATAGCAGATTAGTGTCAAAAGGGAGACTAGATAACAACCAGGCCAGGGCAATAAAGTTATAAATCAGTTTAAGTAGATAGAGAAACAAAGCTACATATCAGTTTACATAGGTATACTAATAAAAACTACAAATTAGTCACATTTGCCAGGGTCCCTGAGATATATGGTTAAGTTGATTACCTTAAGGTATACCTGGGGACCATAAAGCAGATACAATAAACACCATTTGCGGGGGTTTGTGTCTGTTTTATCTTTTCCGAGGCCATGGGGACTAGGCCTGTGATGCTTTCTTCTGCCCTCAATACCTTGCTTTTGTCTATTTTATCTCCTCTGAAGTCATGGGAGCTATGCTGAGATTTAGAAATTCTGAATTTTCAAATAACTCTATTGTTTCAGAAGAAGGAAGGTGAAAGACCTATGTTGCAAAATTTGCAAAAAAGATAGGAGAGAGAAGAGAATAGAAGAAATTATGAAAAGAATGTGCAAGAGTGACCTAAACCTTTCCAAACTGGCCTCAAACCTCTGGTCACGAGATATTCGAAGAGGAGGCAGATGCTGAAGAGACAGACAACAAATCAACAGAAGAAATCACCTCTTCAGCAAGTTCCATTGACATCGGTATGCCTCAAAAACCGAAAAAGAAAACAAAAACATTCAAGAAAATGCCTTTTAAACTTACATATTTAGATGCAAGTGGGAGGCACACAACTAAAGAAACCACAGCTAAAGAAAACAAATCATTTAATGGAGATATGAAAATTTCAAAGAAAACTGTGAAAAACCCATCAACTCAGGCTAAAAGACCAGCCACAAAGAAAATGGTTGAAAACAGTTCTTTCACCCTAAACTTACATGAAATGGTCCACATGGTGGGAACTTCAGAGAGCCTAGAAAACAAGCCTCAAGGATGGACTTGTGACCCAATTGTCAATCTAGTTGGCCATCTGAAATCACCCCTTTTGAATGCAGATGACTATCTTTAAATGAAAACAAACTAAGATCTTACACAATTTCAACAAAGTGCTCTAACTTCTATAGAAGACAGAAGGGCTAAATGGGTAGCATCTTACCCTTAATTGTGAAGAAGTGTTCATATGGCCTGGGAGATTCCATCATCCTCTCTTCAGTTCACCATTTTAACTCTCGGGCCTTGTTTTTCTTTTACTTCATCGGACTGCTTGTGAATTTGTTGTTGTTGTTAGGTGACAAAAAAAGACAGTGAAAAAAGGAAAACAGCTCAAAGTTACCTCAACATATGTCTGACAGTCTTGCTTACATCATCTAGTTCTCTTATCTTAGAGACAGAGGTTCTGAGTAAAATGTCTACTCTGTTTTCCTAAATATTTCCATTGTCTCTCAGTCTTGTGTTTGTGAGTGCATGTCCAGGATGTTCTCACAAAGGACAACTCTTAAATTGCCCCAAGACACTCAGTGGAAGGAAATATCTGGGTCCATTACCCACTGTTGTTGTTGTTAGATGTCTTTGAGTCGATACCGACTCATAGCGACCTTATGTACAGCAGAAAGAAAAACTGCCAGATCCTGGACCAACCTCACTACTGTTGCCATGATTGAATCCATAATGACTGCAAGCATACATTGACAGAGAACTTCCAGAGGTTCAAGCTGGATTCAGAAGAGGCC